GTAGCAAGGGTCATAAGTGTCAAAAACTAGTTCTTTGAAAAGACTACAATTTATAAAATAAAAGATCCCCAGAATATTGATGAGAAAAATGGGGCGGGGTACAGATACTTGACCAGGAACTTGAGAGATTTTTAAAAAGCTATTAAAAAACACACAAAATGGAGAAATATATAAAATGCACCAAAGTTAGCATTTTAGAAATATGAGATTATTTATATTTGAATTAGAAGGCCAGAATACTCTTAGAATTATTCAGGAAGTTGGATGATCATCTTTAAATCTTCCCCCCAAGGAAACCACAGGTCCAAACAGACTTAAAGCACATTTTTCGCATATTTAGGTAAAACATGCTTCCAAGCCTGTACAAGCTCTTCTCAAAAAACGTGAGAAGAGGGGAAACCCCCTGCTGCTCTCGGATGCCTGCCTGGCTGTGATGTCAAAATCAACAGGTGGGAACCATCGACCCCACTCCAGATAGCTGTGGCACCTCAGACACCATAACGGTGAGGACAAAAACAGGAGCACTGGTGGCCACCCGGCCCCGGCCCCTCCTTGGTGGCTGAGTAGGCCTTCATCCTTGTGCCTGGGCTTGCTGCACAGCACGGGTGAAGGGAGAAGCTCTGGGGGGACTCAGGTTCCCCTGGGAGCCGGCCTGGGACAGTAAGGAGTCCGTGGACTGCGTGTGTGTACGTGTGGCTCCTGCCTTGTCCCATGCGTGGGAAAGGAGCCTGGGTCCTCGTCCTTTGAGAGCCTGTAGCCTCCTGAGAAAGACAGATGTTGATGACGAAGAACAGGGCAGGGAAGCAGCCCAGGTCTCCATTCACAGCTGAACACTAAGGGCAACATGGCATGTGTGGACTGTGGAGTACTATGCAGCCAGAAAGAAAGATAGAACTCTGTCATTGCAGGAAAAATGGATGAATATGGCGACCCTCCTGTTGAACGAAAGAAGCCAGGCTCAAAAAGACAAATAATGGGTGTTCTCCTTATACGTGGAATCTAAAAAAGATGGTAAGAAAGTAGAAGGAAAATCATTACTGACAAGAGCAGGAGGGTAGAGGGAGGGTCACAGGGGGATGGGTACGAGCAAAGTACACACTGAAGCCCCAAAATGGACACTTGGAGGAGGTGGGCTGGGGGTGGCGGGTGAAGTTATCCCAGGTGTACACGTACGAGTCTGCCCCAGTGAGCCCCACTGCGGGGAGACCAGTGTGTGCTGATAAAAAGGACCCCAGAACGCGGCACCAACCAGCAAGGGCAGGGCAGGGCAGGGCAGCGGGCCTGGGAGCCTCTGGAGGCCTGGCTATGCCTGTCGCTTCGTGAAGGAAACAGGGTGACCTGAGGCCAAGGACGAGGGGGGCTCAGAGCAGGCGCAGGGAAGCGCCCTGTGAATGCCCAGGAGCCCCGGGGGCAGAGGGGCCCGGACAGGAGGTGGGGAGTTGGGGATGCTGCGGGCGGAGGGAGAGTGGTCCGTTATGAAGAAAGGGAGGAAGTGACGGTGAGGCGCGGAGGACCGTCTGTCTGCTTTCTGTTGCCGTTTCCCTTCTGAGGCGCTGGGGAGAGGAGCCAGGACCTCTGCGCTGATCTCCATACAATGAGGTCCCCCCGACTTGTCCAGGCTGGGCTTGCATTTGAGATCCTCCTGTCCCAGCCTCTCAGAAGGCTGACATTACAGGTGTGCACCACCACCCCTTGCTTTTCTTCCTCGTGCTTTAAGTACAGGCTCATGACTTGGGGAGCAAGAAGCCCTGTCAGGTGGCCCAGTGGCCTGAGGTCCTGATGGCTGAGAAACACTGCCATGCCAGGCTGGCAGGCAATGTGCAAGGAAGGGCGTGTGGAGGGCTCAGAGGCCGAGTTTGCTCTTCCCGAGCCACTCGCCCTCCTGAGAACTGATCTATGAGGCCAGCGTGGCCCCTTCCAATGTCCCCAGGACCTGACCCCCTTCCACAGGTCCCAGGCTTGAAGACCCCTGCATTTGTGACTTCTAACTTGGCGACCAAGCTCCTAGGGTCCTGTGGGGTTTCCCCTCAGCAGAAACCAGGGGCACATCCAGACACCTGAGCTCAAGAGCAGGGAACAAAGAAGCAAAAGTGCTGTGATGCAAACTATTTTGCAATTTAGATTTTTTTGCCTTTCCTGAAATTTTTGAGGCTCTAGGCCAAATGATAAAAATGAGAAAAAATGAAAAGGGAAAAAAAAATTGGTCTGTATGTTCAAAATGCTATATTTAAATTCTTCCTAATTTGATTACTTTCACCGGTTCTATTAATCAGAAGACTAGCTCAATGCAAATGTAAGTGTTTTAAGGCCTTAAAAATTACGCAGAAAAATCTGAGTAGAATTCCAAAACTGTGCGTGTCTATGTAATGTATAAATTTAAGGGCCTTTCCAAGAACATTTGCTTAATAAGTAGAAATGAGAACAGAAATTTTTGCAATGCTAATTTTCATGCTCTTTCCCTCTCCCAATCTCAGAAGATGCCAGGAGATACATTACAGGTCCTCACTGGGAAGAGACCGTCCCTGACACGGTTCTCACGGGGCCCAGGGGACAGACAGCTGCAGAAAGCTGATGCTGTTCAGGGATCCCCTGTGGCATCTGAGGTGGCGGAAGTCATCCAGGCCCAAGCCCCGGACTGAGGCTGAAGGAGTCCCTGTGCCAGTCTGAAAACAGAAGGCAGAGAGGCGTGGCTTGGCTAAGGAGGCCTCTGTAACCTCCCACTAGAGCTCTGGAGAAGAGGGTGTCACGGGGGAAAGGGCTCACCAAGGTCCCCCCAAATGTTTACCTTAATAGACCAGATCGGTCTCCAGGGATATTTACTTTTTATTTTTTGGTGATACTGGGCATTGAGCCTAGGGCCTTTTCACTGAGCTATATCCCTCACCCTTTTCTACTTCTCATTTTGAGATAGGGTCTTGCTAAATTGCTAAGTGGCCCAGGCTGTGCTTGAGCTTGCGATTCTCCTGCTTCAGCCTCTCAGAGTGCTGGGAGCACAGGCATGCACCATCATGCGTGTTCACATCCCCTGCTTTGCTACTGCCGCCTCCAAGGCAGCGGCCCCTCTGTCCAGGACCAATCACTGAGTTCCCCGGTCGTGAGGTGACTGCTCTGGGAAAGGGGTAAGGGTGAGGCAAATGTGGCACACAGACAGGTACTCTCTGAGAAATGTAGGTGCCAGCTCAGGGCTCAGCGAGTCCCGTATTGCTATGAGCCCTGCGGGAGTCTGATATTTAGGGAATGATGAACTGGGGATGAAGAACTGTGTCTTCTGTTGCCTGTGAGGAAGATACTAGGCTCAGGTGCTTCTTGCTGAAATCGTTCTTTTCTCACCCTTGATTTCCTGTCTTCATCCGTGACCTGGGATTAGCAAGGGCTGCATTCTGTCAGCCCATGGATCCTGCCCCAAGCGAGCTTAACATGACTGAGCCTCTGAAACCAGAAGCCAGATGAAACCTTTCTACTTAAAGCATTGTGTGTCAGGGATTTTGTCCCAGGGAAGGAAAGCTGGTCAACAGAGATGCCAAATGTGCCCGTTTACAGCTGGGGAGGAACCGGGGAACCTCAGATGTCCAGGCACCAGAGAAGCTGTGCTTGTCTGCCTGGGTAGGGCACCCCAGGCCCTTAGAAAAGGTGCCCTTTGGGCGCCTTTTTTCCTGAAGGGGTCACTCACAGAGACCAGGGAAGTGGCTGTTTCTGCCCCTAAAGTCTCATGTATGGAAACACCAAAGCTTTGAGAGTAGGGGGCTGTCCAGGCTGGCTCACTGGGGACAGCTGTGAGCTGGCTCCCAACCCACAGCCTGCGTGATCCAAGGTCCACACCCTGAGCCACTCACGCCCTCGGCAAGCCTGTTCCCTCCTGGAGGATGGCTCTTTTCCCAGGGCAGCATTGCCGCAGCTCTGCCTCTAACCCAGAAAGTTAGGAGCAGTCCATGGAGCAACTGTGTGGACCATTCCATCTTGCTCAGCCGCCTGAAGTGTGCTAAGAGGTGTGTGTGTGCGTGCAAGTGTGTGTATGTGTTATGTGTCTGTGGGAGAGGTTCTTTCCCTTGTCACTTCCTCTTTTCCATTTTTTATTTTTAAAATGTATGGAAAATATGCATTTTTTTCCCTCCAATTCTGGGAGCTGCATAAATGGAGGAGGTCGTGTTGTACCCCCACCCCTTGTGCAGACTCCGCCCCCACCTGTGACACAAATGCTGCCTTCCCAGCGTCCTTTGCGTCCTCAGTGCTTGGACAGGAGACAAACGCCTAGAGAGACTTCATCGTCCAGTGGGAGCAGCAGGCGGGGGCTTCTCTGCAGTGCTGTGGACCTAATGGGAACGGCCACGCCTGAGAAACCCAGGGGGTCTCACAGTGCATTCCTTCAGAAATGTGAGAAAGCAAGCTCTTTGTTGGTGCGTTTGCAGTGTCAGTGTATGCAGGCGGGGTTGTTGGAGGAAACGTGACCATTTTTAGCAAAAGCAGAATCATGAGCAACACGTGCATCTGAGAACCGCACCCCCCACCCCCGACACTTTGCAAAGCTGAAGCTGATAGCCAAGACACTGGGAGCCTCGCTCTGAGGCTGCGCTGCGGCTCCCTGCACCCTCGTCCCTAGCGTCCAGCCCCCTGCTCTTTGGAATGGCCACACCCTTCTCGGCCAGGCAGCTTGGGCTCCACGGCCACTGTCTCCACTGAGGCTCTGCCCACATCTGAAGTTTGGACTGCAGTACTGCTTCTGCCCAGTAAACGTGGAACAGATGATTCTCAGAAGAATTTGAACCCCGCACTGTTTTAGAGTGGACAGTGGGAGGGAAATGTCCAGTCCAGCTTGCCAACCAACTGGCTCTAAAACCTCCCTCCGCCGACTAATTTTGGTGAGGGGAAGACTTTCTGAATACAGAATAGCCCGTTTCATAATTCAGCCCGGAGCATCTCCAAAGAGAAGTGGGAAAAAATTTAATTGGTCTGGAAACTTACCTGCAGGAACCTCAGGTTATGTATTACGATGGCAGGTCTGTGGAAAATTGGTGCATACTTTTCGTCAGTTCTCCTATGATTCACTGAAACCCGCGGCCAGGCGTTACTCAGCGGCAGCCACTTTCTTGCTTATCACCACTTAAGCACCTCGCGAAGAGAGAGGAAGGAGCATTGATGAAACTGCCAGGTCAGTGGAAGGGCTCTGCTCTATTGTTATGCATTAATTACGCTCACTGCTAAAGCACACAGGTACAATTAAAACGTGAGGATCGGTGAATTCCTTAGTCCCACCAACACTGAAGTCCATCCCACACTTTCTCATTGTCGAGGTCAGACTTATTTTAAAATAAGTCATACACACTGAATAGTCGTAAGGACCGTGTTAAAAATGGGAATTTAATGACACTAGTGCCACACCCTGTCTCCACAGTGTGAGTGCATTCGTGTGGGAAAACCAGGCTGAAAGGGCCCATCAGGTGCCTAGTCATCCCCTTCACCCCGAAGCACCCGTCTGGGCTCCTGCAGTGAAGGTTCCTCCCATAACATCGCTGGCTCCAGTTTTACAAGGTGAGCAGACGTCCCTAATGGACCACTCATACCCCATTGGCGGTACATTGGTTTTATGCTGCTTTTAATGCTTGTGGCTGAAATCCAGTTGATATTTCTTCACAAATCCAGCACTTTATGTCGTCAGCTTTATGAGCTAACTGACGTCGATCCATGGCTGATTAATAGCCAGTGATTAAAAGTAAATTGTTTTTGAACACCACGCCATTCTAATAGCATCTAAAATATCCCCGGAAATCATAAACAGGGCCAGCCAGGGCCAACGCCTGTCGGCGTCTGTGATGAGCCGTCCTCTCGTCACCCTGCCTGGTGCAGAAAGCTTTCTAAAAACACAACTTCTGTGAAGCCCAGGTTCTCAGCTCGCAGAGAGAGTTGGCAGGACACAGCGTTCTGTTGCTAAGGGATCCCTGGCACTGCGATCCTCGGGCTCAGTGCCTCTCAGTGTCACCATCAATCAGGAGGGGAGAACCTTCCGGGGTGATGGGGAGGAAATGGAGGGCCGCGTGGGGCCCGCCGCAGACTGTCTGCCGTGGCCCCTGGGTGGGAAGCAGGGCGTGTTCTCTCCTCATCCTGAGACCAAGGGCCAGCTGGCTTCTGTCACTCTGCGGGGCTCACACAGGGTCTGTGTGCCCAGACGGCAGCATCAGAGTGGGCGTGGGAGCAGCTACAGGTCCGGCAAGCAGCAACTCCAGGGCTTCTGGAGCACAGAAGAAGAGGAAGCAGTGTGTCTGACCTTCTGCAGGTGCCTGGGGACGCCTGGGAAAATGGCAGGGGTCCGTGATGGTCAGCACAAATGAAGGGCATAAGGGCCAGAGGCCCATTGGGTTGTCCAAGGTGGCACCCATGACCGGTGACCCGTGGGACCCGATTCCGCCTCTCAAGCCTCCGGGGCATCATTGGGAGCACGGATGTCTCCGCAGATGAAAGGCAGAGTGAAACTGGACACTGTCCTTGAGGACAGCAGAACCTTCCCCTGCAGTGCTTGAATTCCAAAGAAGTCCCAGAGGGAGTCGGCACAGACACAGGAAAAGCGGAAACACCAGCCAGCTTGGGGCTCGCGGGGCTGAAGACTGAACTTGGGGTCTTCTCACTGAGCCACACTGCCAACGTTTTCTATTTTCCACTTTGAGACAGTGGCTCACGAAATCACCCAGCTCAGTGTGAAGACCCTGAATTAAATTTCCAGTAACACACACACACACACCCCACCACCACCACCACCACCAACAACAACAACAACAGCAGCAACAGCAGAGGGGAGGAGAGAAGAGAGAGGCCAGGGGAGCTCAGGCGACGTATTCCTGTTAATCTACCCATCTTGCAGGACTTTGGGTGACATGTTTTTTTACGGTTGCCCTGGTTGCAAGATAATTAAATCAGAAATTATTTTTAAAATTAGAAAGTAAAACCCCAGATACATCACTGCCTGTAATTAATTACCTCCATTTACCAAAATACAAAACAAAACATAGCAGCAATTTTCACTCTAGGATAAAACCAGAATGGAAAATCTTATCATATGGAGTAAATAATGATGATAAAACGCTACCCCTCAGAATCTGCCACACAGCAAAGCCAACACTTATAGACAATCAATAGCCTTAAATATTTTTAGTACTGAGTGAAAAGAGTGTAAACCAAAGAAATAAGCACAGCTGAATCAGTTAAAAAAGAAGAAAAAAGAGAACCCCAGCCAGCACTTCAGATGGAAGGTACTAATAAATGTGAAGATGGAAATTAATGAATCAGAGAAGTGGTAAAAGTAAGATTCTTGCAAAAAATTTGAAAAATGGATGCCCTGAAAGCTAACTTAACTGTAGAGACAAAAGAGGTACAATTACAAATATACAAGTTTTGAAATTGTTGGTAGAGGAAACAAAAATATCAAATAGAAGAGATGATTTTGATCAGATATATGCACACAATCTGAGAATCAGGACACATGGCCGATTCTAATATTACTGGCAGATAACGGGAATAAACAAAGCTGATAAGCTATCAAAAGCAGAAACAACTAAAGCAGGCAAAATGCTCTCCCCACCCATGGTGGCTGGCCCACTGCTGTTCAGACTTCTTGGAAGCAGAGAATTCCAATCTTTGTATAATCCTAGCACGGGGAGCAAAAGGGAAAGGAGATGGAAACATACAGGTAACTCTCACGCAGGAACAATGAATGATACAAAGATAGTTCTAACAAAGGCGTGCACAATTTAAATCTGTGTTTACAGATTACGCCCCGTGACAGAGTAAGCTGACCTGTTTTTAGAGTACAAAGATGAATCCATACTAGAAAACTCTATCAATATAATTTTGTATGAAGATAGTAAAAAAGTACCTCCATTGAAGCTGAAAAGGCATTTATTAAAATTTGCATCAATATCCAATTTAACAAAAGTTTTATAAAATAGTAATATGTGGGTGGCAGTGGGATGCAAATACTCTCCGTATTAACCCCAAATCTGACATAAATTGTGCTGAAAAGGCCAACACGAAGCGCTTTCCCATTAAGACCAGCACAGGTAGTGACATTTACCAGCAGAGGCCTGGGAAAGTGCTTTCAAGAGACAAGGGGCATTGTTAGAGGAAAGAAAGAAATGAAAGATGTAAATTCCAGAAAAGGAGGAAGAATGAAACACATTACAGACTTCATATGCAGAGGAATGTAAGATGTTAGGAAGGCCGTGTGTATAACCATTTGGGAAGAGCCAGTTTGATTATCTGACAAGTGGTGCTGGGACAGTTGCAGATGGCTATAAAAAGCAGCAAAAATTAGAGTGAGATTTCCTGCCTCATGGCTCACACTGAAGTTACTTTCTGATGGGTCAAGCACTTAAATGTCAAAAGCAGCAGATCAAATCCTGCACGTGTACAAATCGTTCATGTTCTCGTGAAGATCTCTTTCTCAACAACCCGGGAGAGGGTTTTCCCAAGGGGCCCCCAGGCTCAGAAAACCCACAAAGATGGATCTGCTCATTCTACTACACCTCTGAAGACCCTTTCATAATGAAAATCCCAAATACTAGCAGTGACATAGTCAGAAAAAGTACTCAGAAAATACATTCTAGTGTCATAAATTGAAAATATCAGACTCGTCAACTTCTGACATTTCTTCTGGCTTAAATTTCTACTATCATAATGTCATTAATGTCAATTACTGAGCCACACATACCAGGCTAGGTAGATAAAACAGAAATTGGTGTTGAATTTCTTACCTCTAAAAGCATCTAGAATGTGATTGACATAAATATAGGAGACAGAACCTTGAAAATTGGTTATCGAGAATTCTGGGGGTGGAGCCAGTATAGGTGTGGACCTTCCGGAATCCCTCGAACAAGAGCAATTAGAGCCGCCCTGATCCCTTCAACAACACTGATGGTGGGTACAGCGCCATGTCACCCCCACTCAGCCCAATCAGAAGTACTGGTGTTGTCACTGCCAACCACAGGGCTGCGTGTCTTGGCCTTGGCCTGAACAGCGGGAGGGCAGTAGGATCTGGTATGAAAGATCAAGTGTGACAATTGACACGCAAGGTTGCAACTTATAAACTGCAAACTTTGGCAGGTGCTCAAGAGTTATTTTTCCTTAAATATCTAAATAATTAAATATCTATCTATCAGTCATATCCACCTTCTTGTATCTATTCGTATACTATATGCTATTGTATATATTTGATTATACCTACTTCTCTACTTACCTACATACAGTTATGCATGGCACCTATTTATGGTATCTATCTATGGTATCTATTTTACCTTACTTTGTCTACTCATGTATTCCTTGTATCTATTTATATTTACTCATCTATAATACCTAACGTATATTTATTGTGTCTATCCTATTATATCCATCTATCTACTATATCTATCTACCTATCTATGCTATTTTTATGAGGTATGTCTACCTATTATCCAGTATACCTATTATATCTATTGATTTTGTTTATTCTATCAATTATATTTACCTATTCTATTATCTATCTATCATCTATTGTCTACCTGTCTGTCTATCTATCTGGCTATCTGATCGGTCTGTGTATCTATGTATCTGTCTGTCATCTTTGCTACGTTTTTCTACTGGAAAGGCCGAGAGACAGTGACAAAGCAGATAATGACGGACACCCCACTACCAACACTCAACCCTTTGATGACCATTTCCCATTCAAAGAGCATATCTGGAACATCTTGACATATCAGACAAGCTACCAAAGACGAGTAGAGTCATTTCGAAAGGCATAAGAGTCAATTTTGAAGTCCCCTATGGCCAGCTATGGGACAATTTGAACTTTCAAAAGGCTAAGAATTGTGATGAGTGGAAACCTGGTAATTAGGTTCTAATTTGTGAGCTCATACTGGTGTTAAGGAAAACACTAGTTGGTTGCATTTTAGACATAATTCATTGTCTTGAAAATCAGGTACAAAATGTGTCACTAGGTACACAAGTGAGAGATGGGAGGAGCTTTCTCTTCCTAACATCACTGCAGTTAATCACCAAGGGATAGGGAGGAAGCATCACCACTCTGCAGTCCAGAGAAGGGACGGATGTGAGGGCGGCCCCTCCCAGTGTGAGTGAGATGCTATATCCTGTGCTTCCGGGACAGACAACAGGACAACACGACATCGCCATGCCCTTGTCAAAGGGACAGCGCCAGGGTGGGGCCACAGCTCTGGGGACAGCTGTCAATCTGCAGGAAAAGGCCAGGAGAGAGCCATGGATCTCAGCAGGAAATGGATCTCAGCGCATGGATCTCAGCAGGAAACACAGCCTGATGTCCACCCGGGTGGGACCCTCGGTACCTGCCCCATCCCGAATCCTTCAGCAGGAACTGTGGAGAGAGACATGGTTTGAAAGAACCATCTTTAGTAAGTGTGCCTAAGCAACTCTTCTGAGGGTGTACTCTTGGCTGAGCCAGCCAGGAAGAAGTGCAGCCTCCTGGAGAACTGGGCACTGGGAAGGGGCCACACGGGCCAGGCCTAGGGAAGGTCCCCGAGGAACCCACGCACATTCTGGCTCTGGACAGGGCTGGTGAAAACTCACCTCATCATGGGTCACCAACTTTTACCTTTGCTTGTGATTTTTTTGCGTTGGTGTTTTAGTTTATAGCAAAAATTTTATTTTATTTTATTTTTGTTTTGTTTTGTTTTTGTTTTTTTTTTTCCAGTACCGGGAATTGAACTCACAATGTTGCACTTGCCAGGCAGGCGCTGTGCCGCTGAGCTAAATCCCCAGCCCCTACAGCAAAAATTTTAAACTAGCAATGGAGTACTACTCTGCCATAAACAAGGATAAACCTGAATCACTTGTAGGGAAATAAATCAGACACACAAGCTTAAATATTGGTTTCTCTTACCTGAGAAATCCAAAGTATAAATGAATGAAAAAGCAAAATGAAAGAGATAGCAGGAAGATAAAAAACAGGGAGATAGATTTCTTGCAAATGAAAAGTGGACCAAGAGATGGAGGAGGGAAGAGAGGAGGAGAAGGAGGTGACAGGAAGCTGTCAGGGTCTCCACCAGGTCCTGGGCTTTCTGATCCTCATGCCTTACTCCACCCACTCTGAGAACACAGGAGCCTGTGTGCGGGTGCCCAGCCCCCAAGCGAAGCTCCATGCATGGGGGCCAGAGTCACCCCTGCAATGTGGGCACCCAGAGGAGCACAGTCACTCACTGTCACCGCCCTGTGTACCGCAGGCTTTTGGGGCCAAATCAGAGGCAAAAAGATAGACAATGGCTGGGAGCTCCTCCAGGACATTTCCTAAGGGTGTTTTCATGCAGGGAGCTATGGAGAGCCTCGGGTCGAAGCTGGTACCCCCAGCCTGCCCCGGGAGAGGGAGCGAAGTGGCCCAGAGGGCTTTGCATACAGCGTGGGGCTGCTGCCTGCTGTGCCCAGGATGTAAGACCAGGCCCATTTTGCAGTGCTCGGGTGTTACAGGACTTGGAATCGCTGGCAAAGCAGGGGTCATTGGGAAAAATCTTTGTTTAGCAGCACTTGATCCTGTTGTTTGAAGCTATTTTATATTGCAATTGTGGGCAAGAAAGGACCATTTTGAAGGCAATGCATTATGTGCCGTTGTCTAATCCCTACAAAATCAGAATGGCTTTTTTCTTTTTAAAGAAAAATATCATGTATCTGTTTCCTACAAAGAGAATCCCTTAAATGCATGTTGCCTGGTTATCAGGACTCTTTGGAAGTTGATAATATTTTTAACATCAAAGTCTCCAGGTGAGAGAAAAGATAAACCCAGAGGGTTAAGAAGCAGACAGAAACTGGATTGTTTCCCTTTTCCCTGCAAATAAAACACCTCCAGCTTATTCCCGCCTAATCCTTTAATGTTGCCAACAAATAGAAAAATCAGATGAGGTTTTTTTCGACGCACAAACTTGTTCATAGACGGGACGATAGACGTGGGGCAGTGACCCTTGGCGAATGATGTGCATGTATCCCTGGGGAGAGAAGTTTGCTCTGAACAAGGCGGTACAGCAGATTGCTGTCGTCTTCCAAGAGCATTGTTTTCCTGAGCTTTCCAAAGAAGCCAGCGCTAGCCTTTGGCTGGGGAATTCACTGAGATGATCGCCCTCGACTGCTCATGGGCTGTTTTCTTGAAGGGTGGCGATGGTCGCTGGGATATAACAGTGTTCAGTTCCTTGGGTGATGTCTACAAAGTGACACTGTAGAGTAGTCACTGCATGACAGATGACGGCAGCACTGTTAGCCCCTCAGAGTGGGGGGCTTAGCACTGAGAGGATGTCCTGCATTAAGCTCAGGTAGCTGGGTCTGCACCTTCATTCCCGCTGAGGGAGCCAGCCTGGTGTCTCTATTTCTCGCTGTATCGGAGAATTACGGACCTCAGTCCCACACTGCAACGTACACTTCCACCGAAGCCTGTGTTTAGACTGCGATTCCTCCACCAGATAGATACACAGGGGATGAAGATTGTGTGAATGGTTTCCTTCTCGACTCGCCCTGGTTCTGTCAGTGCATGGGATCTCACACTCTGGCGTGCCTAGCTTCTATTTGGAAATCAGACTTGAATCTCACTAAAGTGTTCTTGGGACCCTCTGCTTCTGAAAAACTTAGAAACTGAAAAATCCAGGGTTGGAGTTCCGACTTAGTGGGGAGAGACTGGGACTGGCTGGGTTTGGTGGTCAGTGTCTTGCCAAATCTTGTGTGGACAAAAGTAAAATCATCACTGCTTCGCCTTTGCTCCCACTGGAGTGAGAGGTCTGGTCCTGAGCAGGAGCAGCAGGACCGTGCTGCCAGGCTGCCTGCTTCTCTGCAGAGCTTCTCCCTCAGGAGAGGAAGCAAGTGAGCAGACACTAGGATGAGTGCTGCGCGGGACACGGCCAAAGGATTCAACTGGGCATCCCGTCAGGTCCGCAGGAGGTGGGGGAGGAAAACAAGTCCCAGGGGACGGGGACGGGAAGCTGGGGCCGGGAGTGGCTGTGCCCCCTGTGTATCTCCCGTGCCCTCGAGTGTGCGCTGGGCGGGGGAGGCACCCAGAGGCGGGGCTCGCTCCCCTGCACTTTAGCTTCTGACTGTCGGCTCAGCTGGGCAGCAGTGGCTGCAGGGCACCGAGGGAAAGGCCTCAGCCACCCCCGATGTGCCCACCAGGCACGGCCACCTTCTCCTTGGCCAGGGAGGAGGGACCAGTGGGAAGGAGACTCCAGAGCCAGCACAGGGCTCTGGCTGGGCCGCCTGCCTCTCTGCATCCTCCTCCCTCAGGCCAGGTCCTCGAGGGAGTGCGGTGGCCTACTTGTCCTTGGAGAGCCAAGCATGGTGACATGGCCGTTCCTGGAGGGGCAAGAGAAGTGTTCTCTGCCAGCCCCATCCTTGCTGGGCCCAGCTGCAGGTGCCCCACGTTCCACATGTCAGCCCTGGGGTACGGTCAGCACCTGAGGCCTGCAGCCAAGGTCCCTGGGAAGGAGGTCTTGGGCTCGCAGGGCCTGTTGAGAAGCGACCTGAAAGTCACGTGGAGGCCCGTCCTCCTGTGCTCTGTTCCTGCTCCCTGGTGTGGACAGCGCGTGCAGCGTGGTGGCTGCTGAGCTGAGTGGCTCTCAGTGTCAGGTGCAAATAGAAGTCAGCATACACTGCAGCTGGTGAGGCTGGTGTCAGCTAGCGGTGCTTTCGCTCTCCTGTGCATGTGTGCGAACATTCGTGTGAGTGTATGCGTGTGCAAGTGTGCATGGGCATGCATGTATGCATGATGCATGTGATTTTGTGGTGTACTGCATTTCTTACCTGGGTCACATCCACAGTGCAGGGGACTACAGAGCTACAGTAAGAGCCTGTGATGCCGCCCGGGCATTGTCAACCCTGCCCCATGTCAACCCTGCCTGGTGCCAGCTCTGCCCGGACCTGATTGGTGAGGATGGAGCCCTGCCGATGCTTCCGCAGTGTAACCGCCCCGGCCCTCCTGAAGCTGCTCTCTGAAAGTCGGCGGTGGGTTCTGACCCCAAAGCCAGTGTCCTGCCCCCCGTTCTCGCCTCATGGCTGAATCCTGGGGACTGCTGGCTTCTGCGTCCGCTCCTGGCTTCCCCACTATGCTGGCCATGTCTCAGGCCTGGTGTCTTCTGCCCATCCTGTCCATGTCACGGTGTCCCAGGGAAACGGCCTGTGACGATGTCTCAGCACAGTCCTGGACGGGGCGGGTGCGACCTAACGGAGTCTGCAGAGCACCCTATCTGTCAGGCTGCACTTTGGTCACGTTGCTGCAGCCCTTTCTCGCAGTAGCCCCGGGGTTCTGCTGGACACCGTGGCAAGAGTGTGGGGGACACAGGAGCACACACATACACACATACAGCACATACACATGTACATTGCAGCGTGTGATAGTCACTGCCATCTTGGGGAACGCGTACAGGCACAAATGGCACCTTGACCATCTCTTCTCCTTTCCCTTTCCTCCCCTCTGCCCCTCTGCCAGTGTTTTCTCTTTCTCTGCTTTTGTTAGCAAACGTTTGCAGTACACAGTGATCACAGCCTGGTGGGGAGTTGGTGTGTGGACACGATGCAGCTTGGACACGATGCACCCCAATCCCTTTTCTTCATCCCTTAGCCTTTCCCTGCCCCCGCCCCATTGCTGGGTCCTCTTCCCCTTAGAAGGATCTATCGTCCTGCTTCCTGTTATCTGTCTCTTATTCACTCTTGTTTGTAATTTGGGTTTCTTATGTAAGAGAAGCCATGCGACATTTAAGCATGTGTGTCTGATGTGTTCCTCTTAACGTCAGGTCTCAAGGTGCCTCCGTTTTCCTAAAAGTGACTGCAGTTTATCCTTCTTCGAGGCAGTGGAGTTCATTGTATGCAAATACCGCGCTTGCTCTACCCAGTCATCCGCTAATGGACAGAGAGGCCGCTTCCAAGATGCAGCTACTGTAACGGTTGATTGATTGAGTGAATTTGAGAAGTTTAGAAGCTTAACTAAGTTGGCTGAGCAATTCCACAGCCTGGAGTGCAAAGGACCCACCCCAGGGCAGCTTGTTGCCTGGTGATATAAAAGGGAAGTGACGAAGGACAGACTTGCTTGTGTTCTACAGAGGAGCTCCAGGCTTCACCTTCAGCTCAGACGTTGTCTCCCAGCTTCCAGGGCAGCCCTTCTGCTCCCACCTCAGATCCTTCAGCCTTCTCAGGTAGACTCTTCAGCTTTTGGTCACAGACCCGTTGGCCTAATATGGACTTGCATGGATGCTGCAGTGAGCTGCAGACCTTGGACTGAATCCCTCAGCCTCCAGTGTGCACTCTCTACATGTTTCCTCATCCGACTCTGTGACTGATCCTGAGCCAATCTTGTATTTCTTATACATTTGTGTATCTTGTGTTACATCTGTTTCTCTAGCAAAACACTGACACTGCTATTATGAGTCGTGCTGCTACAAATACAGGTGTGTGTGCATGACTGTAATATGATGTCTTTAACTCGTGGGGAGATACCTGGAAGGGGAATAGCTGGAATTGCTGAGCCAACTTAGTTAAGCTTCTAAACTTCTCAAACTCACACAATCAGCCGTTACAATAGCTGCATCTTGGAAGCGGCCTCTCTGTCCAGTAGCGGATGACTGGGTAGAGAAAGTGCCGTATTTGCACACAGTGGAGCGCTACTACCCCGAAGAAGGATGAACTGCAGTCTCTTTTAGGAAAACGGAGGCGCCTTGAGACCACGGTGTTAAGGGAAACACATCAGCGTGGTCAAATAGATCTTCTAGTCTTGGTTTCCCAAGGAGTCTTTATACTGATTTCCATAGTGTTGTCCTAGTGACCCCAACAGTGTAGAAGGGCTCTTTCCCCTCTCCAAATCCTCAACAGCACTGTATTATTTGATTTCTTGATGATGGCCATTCTTTCTGAGGTCAGATGGAATCTGAGTGTCATCTTAATTCGCATTTCTGTAAAGCCAGCTGCCGCACGCATGCGATACCAGCTACCGATTAGCGGGGACCCCTTGATGGGGAGCCCCTCCCCAGGCTCCAGCCAGGGAAGTCTCTGCAGGTGCCCCTGGTGTCTGGCCCTGGGCTCTGGTGCCCCTTGCACATGCGTTGTGTACACACATCTGGTGCATATTGATGGAACCGTGCATCATTTGTCCTGGAGGACAGTGGCCAGGTCTCCTTGCTATGCCATGTGCAGACCAGACCTCCAGCCAGCTGGTGCTTGCGCTCCTTGGGGCGCTTACCTGTGCAGATGCTGCCTGAATGCTGCAATGAAACCGATCGCCAGCCTGGCAGTCAGAAGGAGGAAAGGGAGACTTATGCTGTGACCAGCTCTGAGAATTCCTTTCTAGGCTGCTGTCTGCAGACTCAGCAGTTAGGCTTTCTTATCTAAGACATCTTCATGTGAATAAGATTATCTCAGGGGCGGGGATATAGCTCAGTGGTACAAGCGCCTACCTGGCAAGCACAAGGTCCTGAGTTCAATTCTTTTTTTTTTTTTGGTTTTTCTCCGGTACCGGGAACCGAACTCACGACCTTGCGCTTGCCAGGCAGGCGCTTTGCCGCTGAGCTAAATCCCCAGCCCCCTGAGTTCAATTCTTTGTACCAGGGGGGAAAAAAAGACAAAAAAAAAATGAATAAGATAATCTTGGTTTCTTAAATGAGAGTTAAACTCCATTTCACCTGGTTTCTCCAGGGCCAGGAGCCCTTGTCCTGAGGGCGGCTCCAGCCGGCTGGGATCCTTCTGGCTAACGATGTCCACCTGGGTTTTCGCACCTGCACCAGGTGGACCAGACGGGCTGATGCTCCTCTGATATTTGTCTGACCCTGTGCTCACCGAGGTCCAAGGGGAGGACGTCCTGGCCTGGTCCTCACGAGGTGGACAGCAGTGTGCGTCCAGGAGGGGCAGGGGAGAGGACAGGGACGTGGCTGCTCCAGACAACATGGGACAGCTGGGCTCGCACCCCGGCCACAGGCCTTTTCTCCCTGGATGTCTGGCCATTCCTGCTTTGCCCTGATGTCTTCTGGAGTTTGTCCACACCCTGCTGTACGCCTCAAGGGTCGGCGAGCTGGCTTCCGCTCCAGCTCTGGGAGATTAGGGTTTCTTGGGTCATTTGCCTAATTTCTCTGCATCTCAGTTTTCTCAGTTGCAAAAAATGAAGGTTTTGAAAAATAAAGCCCTCAAAGGACTTGGAGAGTAAAAGTGCGGCCAGGTGCTGATGAGCTGAGCAGAGTGGCCGGTGCTCTGGGGCCACGAGGCATGGCCGCCCTGGGAGGTGTTGCAGGGCAAAGGCTGCTGCTCCCCTGAGGAGACAGGGCTGAGACTCTGTGGAGGGCGAGGGAGTAGAACCCCAGGATCCCCTGAAGAGGCGAGCGCAGGGGAAGAAGGGCGGATTCTTAAGGGACACGGCCGCGCTGGGGAAAAGACTCCTCAGAGTGGAGCACTATTATGCCGTAAAGAAGAACACACCTGAGGCCATAGAAGGAAAATGGATGCACCTTGAGGGCATAATTTTACATGAAATAAATCAGACACACAAACTTAAATATTACGTGGTTTCTCTCATATGAGAAACACAAAGTGTACATAAATTAAAGGGCAAAATGAAAGATAGATAATGGGAAACAGGGATATGGATCTTCTGCAAAGGGGAAGGGACCAAGAGAGGGAGGGAGGGGAAGAGAAGGGACACAAAAAGAATGGCGATGCATTTAATGCATCTGCACCAGGTCCCCACGACGAGTGTCACCGCATGTTCCGCAAAAGTGCACTGATTGAAAACAAGCAGCGAAGAGGGCAGCTCTGAGCTCACACAGCCCAGGACCGGCACGCCCACAGCGATCGGAGGGGTGCGCTTGGACTCAGTCCCACTTTCCAGACCCCCAAGGCAAAGCCCGCAGGGCTTTCCAGGCAGCTGACCCTGTCAGCGTCCACATCCGGGTCTGCAGGGAGCAGAAATAGCCAATGCCCAGGGTAAGACGTGCAGGAGCAGCCACCGACGCTTAAAAACATTGGAAGGGATGAAAAAACCGACCAACAGCAGCCAGCCGCGCAGACCCGGATGGAGGCTGGGAGAAAGGGGTGTTGGGAGGGACACTGGGTTTGTCCCCGAGAAGGGGAGGCCTCGGGGTCAAGCGTGCCCTGTGCTAGGTCAGAAGACTCAGGAATGACCGGGACCATGCATGGGGGTGGACAGTGGCAGAGGGTGCTGCGCAGCAGAGGCCTGGGGAGCGTGGCAACACGTCCTGGGGAACGGCCTGAGCGATGCCCAGGCAGCAGGCAGAGGAGCAGCTGAGCGTGGCGTGGGGTGGGGAGGCGGCCACGCTGGGGTAGAAGTGGACAGTGCAGCCTGAGGTTGTTGGAAACGCGGTGCACAAGTATTCCCCAAGGGAATGCCAAGCTCACTGCTCCCAGCAGTTTGACCGTTCCAAGCACACCTGAGTGTGTGTAACACACACACCCACATGCACACTCAGGTACACACGACACTCGCGTGTGCACACACATGACATTTGAGTAAATAAGACACATATGTGTGCACATAGGCACGACACCCATGCACGCACACACAGATATACACATAGGGAAAATGGTGCCCCAGGACCTCACAATCCAACCGCACAAAGCGACTCCTAGCCGAACTGGGCAGATTTGCAGGCAAAGGTTTTCGTCTTGCCCTCACAGCTGCCTTGCTGTATCTGCTCCTGTGAACTCACTCCGAGGGCTGCACAGGCTCCAGGGTGGAGTCTTGTCCGTCCTCCCTAGAGCCTTTTGAGCTGCACACAGACCTGCCCACACGTCCCCAGGAGTCCCACTCCCCTGCTTTCCTGGCCCCAGGGCCGGGCCCCCTCCTCAGAGCAGGTAGTCCTGTTGTGCCCTGACGGGAAGACTGTGTGTGGAGGTGCAACAGCTCAGGGA